TCCAGCACTGGGAAATTCTCTTTACAAGGAAGTTTTTCCATAGCAGTCAGTGGTGTTGGGTTGGTTGGGTTTTTTTCAGTACTTACTTACAGTTGAGGACATGGAGGCACAGGTTGAAAGACCTGCCCAACATCAAGAAAGCGTGCAGCCTAGCTCTGGGTATCACTGAAAGACCTTAACCAGCAAGCCACCTTTTCTCCTTGCTGTCCTACCCAGCAAGATACTTGGTCACAACGCTTAAGTTCTTCCTGGTGTTTAAGGATGCTGCAACAGTAGGTGGCGGCAGCAAGAGGCTTCTTCTTACATGTCCAAGCTTCCATCCCTGCAGTCCCTGGATCCTAGACATAAACAGAAGAAAAAGGAACATCCAGTTATAGAAGAAAGAAAAAAAAAAAAAGCAGAATTAAACATAATTTGATGACCAAAGTAACTTCAAGCATCGTACCTGTGAGTGGAGTCATTTCTTCAGCGCAGTGATGGCAGCCTAAACCACCACGGCAGAAGGCGGCAATGCTGTGCTGTAAGGGACACCCACATCCCTGTGCAGGGCCTCTTGGCGCAGCCAAAGGGGCACGAGGGTGGCAGAAGACGCCATATAGACTTTCCAAGCCGGTGATGGCTTCCCCAGCCAAGCCTTAGCTCTGACAGTAAATCAGAGCACCAGGGCTGCAGCAGGGTTGCTTCGGTCAGGGTAGCGCAGGGCTGCGGGGTGAGCCCAAGGGAACAAGCCTGTGCTCATGCCTGCATTTACCGATGCTATGCCTGGTCAAAAGATTTTATTTATTGTGAATAAAATCCTGCTTTATGAGTCTATATTAGGGGCAAGTGGAAAAGGAGGAAGATATGTAGCCTGCCTGGAAATGGTAAATCTGCATTTACAGCTTATGTAGAAGAAATAAAGGGAAAAAGAGCATTACTCATACGCAAATCACCGAGCACAGGGAAGGCGATAATGAAAGGGTTTTAAGACATCAGTGCTCAAACAAATAAAGCTTGAAACTAGTCGTTTCTACTACAGCTTCCCACATAATACAAGACTGTGGTATCACCGGCTCTTTAAGCACTCCCCTGTGATGAACTGGACAAACACACACTTTATCATGGGGGTTAGACTGGATCCAAGTGATACCCCAGAGACTTGATGCGGCTGGCACTGAAACACTGCCAGAACTTCTACATCTTATACCTGACAGCATCTTGACATGAAATGTTTTGTCCAGCATGAGTGATTTTATTCAGCGGGGAATTCATCCACATGCTATAGTAAGTGATAGCTTTGGTGCAAGCTGATGTGATTATAATTATAAGCTTGTACAAAAAGAATCAAGCTCAGCATGTTTAATTCTGAAGGTAATAAAGCTCCTGAAAATGCATAGTGGGTTTATGGTTGATTCCCTATGCATAGAAATCCATAAATCACGGCTAGATTTTAAATTAGGTAGGACTGTCTGTATGGTATCATTGAAATTAATGCAGGGCAGGCAGAACTCCTGTGCTTTGTGCGAGAGGACTGCACACAGAGTGAGACCAAAAAGTACTCTTGTGTGACAGGCCCCTGTCAGCAAGATGACATCTTCTGGGCAGAGCTCCCCAAGTGCTCTGTAGGAAGACTTTGTACATGAGAAGTTGGAGGAGAGGCAGAAAGCTGTCTTGGTTTTGCTCCTATAGTCTGACAGTCTTGCATTTCTTCCCCTGGGCAGTTTGTTCCCTTTTTTCACAAAATCACAGAATGGTCAGGGTTGGAAGGGACCTCTGGAGATCATCTAGTCCAACCCCCTGCCAGAGCAGGGTCACCTACAGCAAGTTGCACAGGACAGCGTCCAGGCGGGTTTTGAACGTCTCCAAAGTAGGAGACTCCACAACCTCTCACCTTTGTGCTCCTACAACCTTTTACCCATGGCAAAGCCCGACACAGGCTGTGCCTTTGCTGCTACACCTCCAGAACATGAAGGAGAAGGTCGCACATCCCACCAGTCACATGCTCCTTGCGAGGAAGAGCTGCCACTCTTCACCCGCCCCTTACCTTTCCCCAGGAAGAGCTTGGTCTGGCTTCTCCAGCCGTCACCCCCACAGGCCACAGGCCCCCCTCTCTTTCAGCAAATACTCAATTCCTAAGCCGTCTGGGCTTTAAGGATGTTTTCTTCCCCTCCCTTTGCCCAGTTTCTACCTAGAAGCATGCAGGGACTTTTCCCTCTCCAAATACCGCTCTGTTTTATCACTGACTCAAATTGCCAGCTTCCTGGGGAACATGGAGCAGATGGTCCAGGCCTCATGTCAGACATTTACCAAAGAAGGAGCTTCAAGGTCAGTGGAAGAGGCAATAAAAGACACATGGTGTCTTCAAGCTTCACAGCTCAGTTCTCAGTATAAGTGTTAGCAGAAGTCATCTTTGATGTGGAGCAGAGCACAGGGGAGGAAACCTGATCCCCAGAAGGAGTCAGCACACAAACTATATGTACTGACCAAAAGTCTAAAGGCTTAAA